GCCGTCCTCAGGTAGTTTTTCAGGTGGTCTCAAATTATTATTTTTCCACGTTGAAAGACTTGATTTTTTTCCCCTTTAAAAATATACTGTCAATACATCGCTGCTTATCAGAACTGACCAAATTGCTTCAGTTAAGCAAAAATTCTACTTTTTATGTATACTGGGAAAAGGTTTGGCATTTGCGTGTGTGGCTAAAAATCTACTGATCTAAGTGTGAGAAGCAGTGGGATTCCATAGGAAAGCCCCAGAGAGCAGCATTTTCCTGGCGGGACCGCACGAGGGAGCCGGGCAGTGCTCCAAGCTGTGCCCCAGCTCACCCGGGCACAGCCGCCTTGGGGCAGTGCCAGTGGGGCACCTGGAGTGTTTTTGGAGTGATTTGTTCTCGCCATGCTCCAAGAGTTACAACACACAGAAAATAAAGCTGGTGAAAAAAAAAAAAAACAACCCACAACCATTTTAATGCTTTTCTTACAAGCTTTGTGTTCTTTAGAACTGTTTGTGTGTGTGCATATATGTATTTTACTCCTGCTGCTATAAAAACTCTCATGTTACAGCTACTTACCAGGCAGCATGACTTTAAAAGCAAACATGTAGAACCTGTAAAATTTTGCAATAACTTTATTTTGCTTTGTTCCTTAGTACATGAGCCATTGAGTCAATAGCAATATTCACTCCTTTAGGAGCCTGTGCTCTTGTTACTTCAAATTGGAGGTGTATGGAATAATTTGTATCTACACATGTGATTTCTCTTGTGCCAATTTTCTGGAAGTGACAAAATTTGGACTGAATTTGGTCAGGGTGCATTAAATATAAAGCTGTAACTACTAAAAGGTGGTATGAATAGAACTTAAAAATTATTCCCATAAGCTTGGCTGAAACAACCAATTAGTATCCCTGTAAAATAAGCAGAACTCAAGTAATGCCTCTGGTAGTTACCAGGGTGGGAAAGGTACCGGCTATTTGTGGTCTTGGTGGTTACTCTTCTGCCAGGACTGGCATGCCCTGCTGCAGTAGGGAATGTGAAGTCGGGAAACTCATTTAGCTCTAACACACTGCCATGGTTTGCCATCCTTCTCATATTTGTAATCAGATGGGGTGGGGGACAGTGTGGATCTCAAGATTTTGCTTTGGTTGAAGTGCCTTAGTTTGGGTCTGTGGGAAGAGACCACAGCCCTTAGCACAGAGCCAGGGACAGATATTTTTGACACATAACACGAAAAATAGCATCCCATGGAAACAAAGAATATTATTCTACATCCCTTTAACCCTAAAGCAGAGAACTTATAAACAGATGATGAAATTCTGGATGCGAAGACCTACCAACAATGAGTTGACCAAACTACACAAAGACTACCTAATTAGGATTAATCTTAAAATTAGACTCCTCAGAGGAGTGCATACTAAGAATGGTACTCTGGTAAGCTGACTTGTGCATTGCAACAAATCCAGTTGCAGAATCTGGTCCTAATGCTTCCGCTGCCCACCCCCTCTCCTCTCCACAAGTTAAATACGCCACAGTCCTTCACTCACAGGCTGTTTCTGTAACAGTCAGAGCATAAATATCTGTGTACCTAATGGACTTATCCTTAACACCGCAGTGAGGGAGGGAAGTGGCATTAACCTCATTTTGCAGATAAACAGTGATGGCTCTGTCCTGTGTTTCAACCTATGGAGCAACTGCACACATGCAGCGAGTGAAAAATGCTGTCAGCCTGAAAGTGGCATTGGCACACTCTGCTCCTTCTTTGCAAAGCCAAGGACCACAGTGGAGATAGAGGAAGCTCAGAATATGAATAAAGTAACATTAATTTCTCAGCTGATTGCTCCGCTTAGCCCTGGGAGATGTGGAGAGTGGAGCAGAGCCGAAGGTGGTTTAGCCATGGGTTATTGGGTTATCCCAGTGAACTGCAGCAACTCAAAGCTCAGGTTCTCTCACCACTGTAGGATGGATGTGCAGGGGCCTGAGCGAAAACCTATGTGACCGATGTATGAAAATTCATTTAATTCTTTGTTACTGGAAGATGGGAAATGTCAGTGGCCTCTGAATGTTTTGCTTGAACAGAAGAGGAAACTATTTTTTTAATAAATATGAAAAGCTTCTTTAAACAGTCAAAATGGAAAGCAATCTTATGGTAACACGTTACCGTATGCGGAACTACTGTTCCCGAGAACAGTACAGACGTTTAGGAACTCGGAAATTCTCCGTTTGATCATTGTTGTAGTTATTCAGACTGATGCTGCAGCCCTGCGCTCTCCTGCGCTGCCCATTGCTTTGTGACCCGGCGTCCCCAGCACAATACGCGGGGGCAGTTTCGAAACTTCAGGGCGTGCACCGAGCGCGGGCGGCAGCATCAGGAAACGGGATACGGGCGCTACTGCCTTATGTAAGCGAACCGAGCGGCGGCAGGGTGACCC